GACTGGAACTTCCTCTCCATCAGTCTCAACCCCTTCTCTAGGGTCTCTGGACATTTCTTGACACACAGAAATTTGAACTATTTACTAGATAAAGAAGGCAGGCAGGCTGTTACAGAGAGTCATTACACATCTTCATTAATGCCTATTAACCTTCTACCCTTTTGCTGTGAAGGCAGTCATTTAATTTAGGGTTATACATCGCTTACGGATGAAGCTCATTGGATCTCTGGTTTGCAGTAATCTTTCTCTACTGAGGACTGTGCTCAGGGCACACCTCTTCAAGAGATGTAGCTTCCCTGTCATAGATCAGCGATGTGTCAACCTTCCCCTATGTATGCCCCTGCAAGAAATTTGCAGTGAATAGATTTGCTGGATTTACTGCAGCTCAAGAGAAAACATCCCTAGCTGTCCATGTTTTGTTATTATCCCAGGATATCAAGATCTGTAGAAACCAATCCATCTGCTCTATGTGCTTTATTGTGCGAGTGGACTCTCAAAATCTAGTACATACGTCTGCAATCTAATTGAGAACACTAGATTTTTATTTTAAAACAGTTAGAATTGTATCGACCACACCCTCTAGCACTTAAAATCTGTTTTCACAAGAAGCATGTATGTCATTGTGTTTGCAGTTCCAACATCCTTTAAAAAAAATAGGTGATCAAAATAGTTGTCTTGCTTTTGAATGCACTTTTACATCAAAGTGCCCTGTTTCAAATATAAAACAGGGCGTGCTGTTAAGTGCCTGCAAGTATCTATTGTATCTGCCTGAGGAATACAACTCAATAACTGGATCTCAGTACTTTCCATCCTCTAGCTGAGGCTGGCAGAGAGATGGCCATTATAAGTTGATGGTGCATGGTCATTGCTTACTTGGATCTTTTGCTGTAAAATGCATATGCAGATCCAAACATGCAATTTATAAACTTTAGGCCTAATTCTCATTTAAACTAAGACCACTTCCCTGACAGTATAAAATGCCTTTCTAAAGTCCAGTCCTTTATACTAAAGAGGAGCAAGAGCCTATAGCTGCCTTGTTTTCCTGCAATTTGGTTCCCACCCTCCAGCTCCTGTACAGAACATTGCAGAACTCAACTAAGAATAGTTTGACCGTAGCCTGCTAATACTGATATGCCTCGCAACATCTCTCCTTCCTTGAGAAATCAATGCAGTATTGTCAGTGTAACCACATAAGTCCTTCTCTTGTAGTTCTGTAGTTCCCTGGATCCTCCTCCTTCTCTTTCTTAAAGATGGGCACTATATTTGCCCTTTTCCAATCATATGGGACCTCTCCCAATCACTACTCATTTTCAAAGATAATAGCCAGTGGCTCTGCATTCACATCAGCCAACTCCCTTGGGTGCATCATATCAATACGCTTGGACTTGTACACATTCAGCTTTTCTAAACAGTCCCTAACCTGTTCTTTTGCCACTGTTGGCTGCTCATCTCCTCCCCAAACTGTGCTGCCAGGTGCAATAGTTTGGGAGCTGACCTTGCCGGTGAAGAAGGCATTGAGTACTTCAGCCTTTTCCACATCATCTGCCACTAGGGACACTTATACATGTGCTCCAGAAGTGTGTGTGTGTGGGTGGGGGGGCAGGGTGCTTTAATTAGAGTAGCTCCAAGAGCCACTCTAATTAATGCACCTGGAGCATCATGTGTATGAGTGTCCCCTGCACTGAAAAATGATGGTGGGGGCGCTTTAACTAAAGCTTGTTGAATGAACTTTAGCTAAAGCACCCCTGCTGCCATTTTTCAGCATAGGGATGCTGATACACATGTCGGTAGAGTCTGCTGGAATGCAGTAATTACCACTCTCCAGCAGACTTGATTAATCTAGTCTGCTCCAATGCGCTGTAATTACAGCACATCAGAGCAGCCTCTCTGCACGTGTATAGGTTCCCTAGGTTGCCTTCTCATTTCATAAGGGATCCACACTTTCCCTGATCTTCCTCTTGCTGCTGACATATTTGTAGAAATCTTTCATGTTACCTCTCATGTCTTTTGTTAGCTGCAGCTCCAGTTGCACTTTGACCATCCTGATTTCATCCCTGCGTGCCTGAGGAATACTCTTATACTCCTCCCTAGTCATTTGTCCAAGTTTCCACTTCTTGTAAGCTTCCTCTTGTATGTTTTAGTTCTCTGAAGAGCTCCCTGCTAAGCCAAGCTGGTCTTCTGCCATACACAATGCTAAAACTTCATTGCTGACCTCTGTAAAAATCACTTTCAACTCAGAGCGGAAACTCTCTTGTTTTTCTACTACCTTGTAGGTGTCTATGTGAATGGTTCTAGACAATTCTGTGCGAGGCAGTTGGATGTCCTGTTAGCTTTCCCCTCTCCTTCATTTTGGCACTGTCCATGCAAACCTCGAAACATGAGCAAATAATTCATGGCTGGAGACCTATGTAATAAATCCAAGCTCTTGTCTACATAGATTGCATAGTCAGTAGCCAAGCTGGTATGCTTTGCAGCAGACACTGTCTATGCTGCCGAGGGAAACTATGCTGGCAACACCAAGCTCAAGCACAGCTGTTACTAGATTGTTTGCCAGCTGCATAATAGAGACGGGGCCTATTAGTCATAAAACGTCTCCTAATCGGGAGGCAGGGATAACTCCATCAGAGCCCTTCTAATTCATCAAAGAGTAGTTATTAACATATTAACTCTCCTGACTAATGCAGTCCCGTGGAAAAGTCTGGGCTGCCCTTGTATATTTCTCACTTAAGATAAAAAATGAAAATAATATTTTAGTTATTTATTTTAAAACCACATATTTTGGTCAGCCCTACACCTGGAGCACTTGGCAAAAGATTGGGCTACAAGGAGCCTTGCCAGAGCCTTGTCTCCCATCTCCATGCCAGAAAGGCTAAACAATTGTATATATTTGGAGTTAAGCTCACGCAATTCTTTAAGAGCAACTTAATTGCACAAAGGCATCCCCCTCAAGCCTTCAGCCCCTGAGAAAGCATGAGGATTGGTAATGCCTTGGTCAACTTCTAGCTGTGGCCACCTACGTAAAGATGAATGCTGGGTCTGGGCAGTTGTTCCCAGTCACAGATCAGATTTCCTGCTTGTGTCGTTCTAATCTTTTTACTCTGCTTTTGTGCAAGTTTGATTCCATTGACTTTTGTGGAGTTACTTCTGGTTTACACCATTATGAATTAGAATAGTGTCATCCATCAATTATATCTGATTAAAGAGGTTCTAAAGAAGTGCTGAAAGACTTAGATGTCCTCATCCTCTTTGTCTCTTCCTCTACGGCTTCATCCCTCGTTATCCTGTCCCATAAAACAGACCATAAGCTGATTTATGAAGGTGATAGTGAAACAGGCAAGAGCCTCTCAGTTTACATTATGAATATTCCTTTATCTCATTAGCTTATTCTTGCATTGAAAATGAACAGAAGTGACTGACCACTGAATAGAGGGAAAATATTGGCAATGAGATATAGTTAATCGTGGACACTGGTTCAAATACAGCCTCATCAATCCTGGCCAAAACAATCCTCTGAGATAACATGAGCACTATTTAATTGACAGCATAAAGTAATTTGTTGGTGTTTTGATTCTTTCTAAGTGGATAGTTGTCCAAAGTACAAAAAAAAGCTGTCACTAAATTCACTAAGTTCAGAGGCTTGAGTAAGCTATAGCGTGTGAACTGTCCTCTTCTTTCTAGATATTGTGTCTCCAGAATCATAGTGTGTGCATGGGTGGGGCGGGGGTTACATTTCTGCCTCTCTGAGCATAATCATGTTTTTCTTGGTATGTTTTCCCAATAATGAAGGTAAGCATTGCCTGGTAAATTGGTGAATGGGAGGGGAGACCATTCAGTGAAGGGATCCAAAGCACTGCTCATCTGCACCTTTTGTTATTACAGTGCAAGTGTGTATTTAAACCAGTCCTAAGACCTAAGCCTGTAGTCTAGAGGTCAGCTTTACTATCATTTTCCATCTCATTTTCTCACGGTAGGAAGTAAAATTGAATTCCATTGTGTTCTACTAACTGGTTGGCAGAGAGCCTAGCTGCACCTTTTCCAAAAAAAAGAAAACAAAACTTTAAACCTCTTTTCTTTATTTTGAGGGAAGGTTGAGGTAGAAATGGAATCCTTCACTTCCAACCTCCCTAATTGTAATAAAATGAACAGCCATGTTTGCATAAGTGAATAATCATTTGCACATGCTTTTAACAAAACAGAAGTGAGCTCTGACATCTGCATGCATGGACTGGAGAGTTACACTAGTATTGTTTCAGGCATGTAATATGTCTGCATATTACATGGCTCAGCATGGTATTGGCAGCATGTCTTCCAAAAGAAACCTGAGAACAATAGTGTAATGGTAAAGAGTGCAGAAATGGAAAGCTTATTCTGCGCCAAGAGTGTGTGCTGTCCATCTGCCCATCAAAGGATTCAGTTTCTTGTGTTCACTGTCGGTTTCACTAAGGAAAACCTTCCCTCCAAACCACTTGGAAAACCATACAGACAAATTACACTGAGAGGTATCAGCAAAATGTCTGTCTTTGTCAGAAGAGTAGGTGATGCACATAATCCTGGCTAAGAAAAACGTTTGGTTTAGATTCACAAGACAGGCGGACAGATGTAACTCTTCCCCTTCTCCCGCCAGTGGTTGCAGCTACACTTGTGTGATAGCTACTTTCTCGGTCATTACCAGACCTGCAGATCTATTCTCATTCTGGTTATGAGTATTACTTTGGTGGGGAGGAAGAGAGTGAATACTTGGGAAGTGATGCAGGGATGGAGAGCACAAGCAAATAAACTTTCTAAGGGCTAAATTCTGCCCTCGGCTTCCTTTCTGCACATTGCTTTACGCTTCCCAAGTGGATGGTTACTGCAACTCCCCACCACCACTGCTGTGTGCAGAGAAAATGGAAAAGAAAGCTCCAAACCTGAAAGATCTGGGTACCGGTAGGCCTTTTCATAAGTTTCACGAGAACCAAGGTCCTTCCTTTTTCACTGTTGTATTTCCCCCCCACTTGCAGAGGAACCAAAGGCAAGGATATCAACACCATCAAGTCACTGCGAGTTCTGCGGGTGCTAAGACCCTTGAAGACCATCAAGCGTCTGCCAAAGTTAAAGGTTGGAGAATAATTGGAAATAGTTCCTTTTTGCTGTGGGTCTTGAAGGCAGAGCTGTGAGCAAAATGGCGTAAATAAACTCAAACTGGATGAATTATGGCTTTTTAATTTTATTTTGAGAATGAGTGCTTAGCCATTAAGGATTTTAGTGTTTTCTAAAAAATCCCCCCAAAAATGCAATCTATAAATTCAACACAGTTTTTGATTTTGAAATTTTTCAGTGCGCCAGAGTGAATGTTGACGTGTTCATCTTTGCCTGGCTGGTAGAAAACAAACACCACAGTTTTGCCAAGCTCTGTCTGCAGAAATTGTGGACTGAACTTTGAGGAATTTTAGTCTGTTCAGGATTTGGTGGTCATAGGTCCACCTCAGGCATCCTGAGTCACAAAGTGAAATGAATTGAATTGAATGAATTGAATAGCTTGTGCTTAGTTATTTAGATTGTTTCAGGAATGAAGTTAGTGTTGTTAAGCAGTAGCCTGCTGCTGAAATTGTGAGGTGGGAGAAGTTACAGAATTAAAGTGATCTGCATTGTTAGGAATCTGTGCAGGAAACATTTACCCTGCAGAGTGATCAGTACCATTTTATGGCTCTTTCATTTGAGATGGGCAAAAAAAAAAAAAAAGAATACTGTTGCTTTTGTGAAGCCATCAGTCACATTCTTGTTTTTACAAAATGCAAAATAGACAAAAGGGTTAGTCTTGATCTAGATCCTTTTTTATTCACATCACCATGCTTCATATTCAAACAGATAATTTGGGTTTCAGCTAATTTAATTTTCATGAGCACTAAATTTGCCTCCAAATGTAAGTAAGAATACAATTAAACTGTGGAAAAGAACATGTTGAGTTGATTGGAAACATAAATGTGCAGCTCTATGGTCCTTGAAATCAGCAGCATTAGTTTTTATCTACTCCAGAAGGCAAAGGAATGTTTGCTTTTTATTAAACAAATTATTTATTTTCAAACCTGTATTTGTGAAAGAAACTCCAATACTCAGAACAGTCAGCAAATATTTATGTGAATAACAAATTGAATTCAAATTGCGTGTCTTTACATCCCTTTTGCATTCATTCTTTGCAGATAACCTTGGTTTATGGGATTATTAGAGAATGTTTTCAAAGAGCAATTCACACTGTCTGCACTGTCATTTTGTGTTACTCTTTTCCATTCAGAGAAACAGAAACAATCCTACATCACCTACTTTTCCAATCAAGGCAAATACAACCAATATAGTGTATCACCAAAAAAACCTGTGCAAGAACAATCTTTAAACTTGCATTAATGAATTGATGGCTTATCAAAAACCAAATATATTTGCAAAGTGTTTGCAGGCAATACACAAGTTATTTTTGCTGGCTACAGTATTCATGGTTAGTTAACACACTGGCTGACTATTTGGTAAAACTAATGTATTTAAAGCATTCTGGTATTTTATCACCAAATATATTTTCTTACCATTCAAACAGTTTGAATAATAATCACTGAGCAATTTATTTTACAAGTTTTTCCCCCTATTGGTGGTTGAATATATTAAGCACAAATGTATTTTTATTTTAATCAACCAGCTATGAAAATATTTTGCTTAGAACTAATACTACTTACCTAGATTACCCAGCTGGCAATTTTAGTCACCGTTTTAATTAGTAATACTACAGAATGCAGTCCCACATTTTTAACTCTTACAAGTGAGGAGAAAGCTATTAGTCATAGCCGTTAGTTGCTACCACTAGTAGTAAGAATTTGCAAGATCTGTTGTCTGAGTTAAAGGAGTCTTTCCAGGACAAACCCAGTATAAATCCGGTATATGCTCAAAATGAAATGTTTTTCTATAGGTGCTAGATGCTGAGCTCTCTCTCTTCTAACCTCTCCTCTATTCCCATAACTCCACAGGCGGTCTTTGACTGTGTAGTAAATTCCTTGAAGAATGTCCTCAATATCCTGATAGTTTACATGCTCTTCATGTTCATCTTTGCTGTCATTGCTGTGCAACTCTTCAAAGGCAGATTCTTCTACTGCACGGATGAGTCAAAGGAACTAGAGAAGGACTGCAGGTACTTGAAGAACAGCAGGGGCTGCCAGTGCCAGAAGCAGGCAGTGTTTGGCTTCCAAGAGAAAATTCTGCATCCCTTGAGGAGTTCCCTGGGCAGTAATAACTCCTGTGTGATTGTGTACTGCTTCCAATTCATTCTGCTGTGGTTCTAATAAATAAGGGTGTTGTTTCAACAGACTTACACCAGACATGAATTTTATCCCTAGTAAAATTCCCTCGAGGGCTTAACTGTACATTGAGGGCACATCTACACACCGCCCCACGGCGATGTAGCAATGTGCTACATCATCATATGGCATGCTACATCGCTGTAGTAATCACGTGGGTCTACACGCTAGGTTTCTGTAGCAGCGTGCTCCCCAGATATAGCGTACCCCAGTGGCGACGTAGCGGGGAAATCTAAGTGTGCGCTGCCTGCACAGCACAGTAATCACCCATACTGCACCATGCTTTAGTACTTCTGAAAGGAAGTACTAGAGCATAACATCATAGCAACGTCACCAAATTTAGTGGGACTAAGTTTGTGCTTAATGATCAGCATAAGCATAACTGTTGGAAAAGACTGGCTACTAGTTTCCTGCCCGATTATGTTCTTGAGAACTTTTTTTTTTTTAAACCTTATAATGAATAAGAGAAAAATGAATAAGTAAGAAGTTTCAAATATACTTAAAATATTTTAAGTAACTTTAAACATGATATTACTCCATTGTTAACTACAGCACGATAGTAGCCCCATCAGAACATGACCTCTCTTCCAGTCTGATTTGTTCTTTTCCATTCAAAAGTCTTTCTGTGTTGTCCTTCTACACCACAAACCAGCAGGCGTCTTCCTTGCTCACTGCTCCTTTTGTCACCCAAACCATTGATAGCGGCCACAGTATGATGGGCAACAGTTCATGAAACACTGCTACCTGTGGCTGCTCTTTATAGTTTCCGTCCACTGGCTGGCTGGCTGACTTCACCGTAGCAGAGCAAATCTGTATGCAGTGTCTGGGGATTTCATTTTTATTTTCTCATTGCCAGTACAACTGATTTAACTTTAAGCAGAAATATAGAACTCCCCAGCAGCTTGTAATAATTTTATGCTATGCCAGAATATTACAGATCCCAAAATAAATAGTATCCTCTTAATTGAAAGCTTACCTCAACACTTATCTCCATTTAATGAACAGCTTGCAAGACAGTGCTTTCCCTTGCTATACTAAAGGTCACAGGGTCATATGCCTTGTACAGGAGTTAAAATGATATTTCTTCTAAATTAGAAACTCAGGGACCATACTTTTGTTCTGTGTTTGTACAGTGCCTGGCACAGTGGGATTCTGGTCTATGATTGGAGCTCTGCAGTGCTGCTGTAATACCAGTAGCAGACATGATCATAATTAAATTCCTTCTGAGCCTTGGCGCTCTCACTTGTTTCAAACCGCTTTTCTTCTTAGGGGTCAGTACCTGGATTATGAAAAGAGTGAGGTGGAGGCAAAGCCCAGGCAGTGGAAAAAATATGAGTTTCACTATGACAACGTGCTTTGGGCTCTGTTAACACTATTCACCGTCTCCACGGGAGAAGGGTGGCCAACGTGAGTATGTGGAATTTATTGGGTTAAGTTACTTTATTGAGAAAAATGCTAACTCTTCATAATTCTCAGGGACAGAGAAATAATAAGATACTTGTGCAAAATGGATGGCGTGTCCTTTATGAGCCAAGATTCCAGTTTTACTAATGTCATTATTGAAGGGCTCCAAGTGCCCTACTGAGGTAGGGTGGTGTGCATTAGGTCTGAGCGAAGCTTTGGTCCCTTATTTGATTTGGTGGAGATTCGGTCCGATTCGGTGGCCAAATCTCCTAATCCGAATCTAATCAGAGGACCCGTTAATCTTACCGAATCAAATCAGAACCTTCCGAATCAATTTGGAGAGATTCAGAAAGATTCAGAGATTTGGACATAGACACAGCTTTAAATGTTTTTTCTACATACCTCTAGGTGGCTCGTGAGTGCTGTGTTGCTGGGGCACATGGAGTGTCCCACAGGAGCACGGGGGAGTCCCCAGTGTGCTTAGCAGCGGACCTGGAAGCAGACCAAAAGCACTTCTGGTCCACTTCCAGGTCCTCTGGAGAGCACCCCGGGGCCCCCCCTGTGCCTCCCCGGCTCAGTGACTGGTGCCTCCTGGGTCTGGGGGGCACCTGGGGTCCCCCTGTGGCTGATCGCCGAGCTGGGTGGGTGCGGGGTGGTGCATGCTTCCCATTAGACCTAGAAGTGGATCAGAAGTACTTCCGGTCCACTTCTGGGTTCGCTGCCAAGCATGTGGACAGCCCCCCCCCCACTCCTGTGGGATGCCCCAGCACTGCAGCATTCACAAGCTGTGCTGGTACCTCAAGGTATGTAGAAAAAACTTTTAAAAACTTTTAAAGCTGCATCTGTCTGAATCGCCAATTCTCCGAATCAGCATCAAATTGTCAGATTCAGATGTGGCGGAATCAAATCAGGGACAGTGATCTGAATCAACAAATCAAATCACTGTTCTTGATTCAGACCAAATCCAAATTGAATAGGGCCCACTTCCCACAACCCTAGTGTGTATTTCTTCTGCATAGTCCTGTGAAGTTGCACAGTGGTATTCCACAGGCACTTTTCAGTATATAATCAGTCATTTCTGGTCTTCAGACTTGCACTGCTTTTTTTGCTATGGTATAGATTACAAGATATATACAAACTAATAGGTTTGAAAGTGGGGAGAGGGAGCAATGTGACCCATGCCAAAAGTATTCTAGATTTTTTTGATCAAAATTGCATTTCCTGTGAAGTCTGTGACTTTGTTTTAGTATGCTTTGTCCCAGGAAGTATTAGTTTAAAAACTGAAACATAGAAGTCTTTCTACATGGCACACAGTCCCTTTCATTCATGCCCCCACTCCCTCATAAAATAACAAATGAACACTTTCAGTGCCTTGGCCAGCTGTGTTAGTCCATGTTCTTGGGGCAGTGTGCTCCAGGGACTGGTCACTCATTAATCACAGTCTTTCCACCAGTCTCATCTCATACCTATTGACACAAGAGTGAAGAAGAAAACAAGAGTGCCAGAGACTCCAAAGTATCCCCAACTCCTGTAATGTCTCAAGATTGACCACATGATAGAAATGAGTTGAGCCTATACATGTAGGGAAGAATCCCTACAATGAAGCCTCTGAGGCAAGGCCACCCTATAGGAAAAATTGGTGCTATTATGAACATAATTGTATGTTGTGTTGTATTTAATGTCATTTGGGTTTTTTTCTTCTCTCTCTGCATTTGTTTACAGTGTATTGAAGCATTCGGTGGATGCTACATATGAGGAACAAGGTCCCAGCCCTGGCTATCGAATGGAAATGTCTATCTTTTACGTGGTGTACTTTGTTGTCTTCCCTTTCTTCTTTGTGAATATATTTGTGGCGCTGATCATCATCACCTTCCAGGAGCAAGGAGATAAAGTGATGTCGGAATGCAGCCTAGAGAAAAATGAGGTACCCAGGCCTTATGAGTCCAGCAACCATGTGTAGATTAGATGCTCACATCTTTCTTTGGCTCAAAATATCTTGATATCTTGTGAATGAGATATTCCAGCTTTTTCTGAGTCACGAAACATTATTACATGTCTCTTTTGCCCACATCTTCACATTCAAAATGGAACGATGCTAAGTACTGGCACTATATATTTGTGTGTGTGTGTGTGTGTGCGTGCGCGCATGCCTGAATATGTATACTATTTTGCTTTCTAGTGGCCAGACAGCAACCAGAATAATAAGCTGAACCACAACTATAATAAGTTGAACCACAATTTCTCCAGACAACTAAAAAAAAAATTTCTATCTACAGTGGTAGAGATCCAGAATTTTTAATGGTGAATGTTTGCAAGGTATTTGCCGAACTTACCCCTAGCTTTAATCCATGCTATCAGTCTCTGTCCAGGAAGTATGCAAGATAGGATTAACCCCAGGGTTGTTCTTGCATGGGGGATTGTGTGGCACCTACTGTCACGCCTGGCTCTAAGATATGGTTATTCACTTTCCCAATCAATCCCTTATTTCTAAAAAAAATTCTAAAATTAATATACATTAAATGAAACCAGTTTACACCAGTGACTGCAGACTTAGATGTATTTTTCTTGAGGATGAACCCTGAATTTAAAGGATCAGTTTCCCAGCGTACCAACCTGTTCTTGATGCCCAAAGGTTTGCAGTTCTTCTTTAAGGTGATACCTACGATTAGGGCTCATCGATAAACATTCTGTGGAATGTATTTTGTTAGAAAATACAGATTTCATTTAACCTGAAATTTCCCATGGGAATATGTGAATTTAACATATTTTAAATTTTGAGTAAAAGTTGTGGGAAAAAAGTTTGGAATGTGTTGGAATATCCTCCTTGGACATTTTTGGAACAAAATGTTCACATTTTCTAGTTCAAAACTAATTTTAGTTGATTTTTAGTTAGTTTAATAATCAAAAAGAATTTTAAAAAAGTTTAAGACCAGAAACACGTTTTGAACTAATAGAAATAATATATTTAGAATTGAACCAAAGTTTCTTTTGAGTTTCTTGAAAAAATTTGGAGATTTAAAATTCCTGTCTCAATTCAGAACAGGACATTTTTTTCAAACATGCATCTTCTTGCAGGACAGGAAAGCTGTTTCCTGCCCAGCTTTACTCATGGGAACATGAAAAAAATGACAACACCTGGAAGAGATGAGCCACTGACCTTCCATGGGTATACAATCTCACAGTGCCTTCCAGAGCTGATTGAAATAGTAGATGTATTTCATTCATATTTCATGTGAATTATCAGCTGAGCATTTTTACTATGTGTGAATATATAGAGATTTCACTCTTTTTTTCTGGTATACAAATGACATCTGTACTAATCACCTGATCCAGTTGCGTAGAATTAAGCATCAGAAAGGCATTGGCAAGGTATTCTCACTGGGTGCCCTGCATTTCTGGACTTGCTGAACGCTAGGGCATGATATAAAGCCCCTCTTTTCTTTTAGGCTTTGCTTAGGGGAGGAAGGTAGATGATTATGGGGGGTGGTGTGTGTAGTTCACTGCTTCAGGAACTATTTCGCTGTCAGTGGTGGTCCACATACCATGTGTGCTATATTTTATGGTAATTTTCTTCAGTGTTCAGAAACTATCTAAAACACTTTTTGAAACAATACATTTGCTGTCCATCCTCTGCAAAATACTCCAGCCAGCTCTCTGCAAACTCCATGGTTTATCAGAGGGTGCCAGCTCATTTTGATGTTTAACATGTTCCTGTTTTCTAGAGGGCCTGTATAGACTTCGCCATAAGTGCCAAACCACTGACCCGCTACATGCCTCAAAACAAGCAGTCTTTTCAATACAAGATGTGGAAGTTTGTGGTGTCCCCTCCCTTTGAATATTTTATCATGGTCATGATTGCACTCAATACAATTGTGCTGATGATGAAGGTTAGTGAGCTATTATTAGTTTGTCCAAACATTGTGCCGCCTAGGCAATGCACAATTTGCTCTGGGAGTAGAGGGATTGAGACTCTCTAGTATGATGAAAGGCAGAAGCTTGGCTTTTAACCTGGCTATAGCAATGTCTGCTTCTTCAATCTTACTGAAAAAGCTTGCCTGGACATGAAATCCTATAAGAGTAGAATCCCCAGCTCAGGGAGCTGCTTAGCTTGCACTGCTGCTTCTTGTACTCCTCTAAACCTGTTTATAGAGGATTGGGACTCAGTTCTTGAGAAGCTTGGTACTCGTCATTAAGTCTCTTACTACCAAATAGGGGTCAGATGCATCCCATTTACACTGGAAATCCAAAACAATTCCAGTAAAGTCAATAGAGTGACTTAGATTTGCAATCAGAATAAGGATTGCTGGAGCTAGCTAAGTTCGGTTTGCCTCATTTTCTAGAAGGGAGAGCCATTGTATCCCTGGTTTGAGTCAGAGGAACCTTAGAACAGCTTTTACTTACCTCAGGGGGAAGAGGGGAGTACTTTTTACTAACAGCAACTTCGGAGGGGTCATTAAATTGCTGGAGATCAGGAGAGAGCAGCAGCATTTCGGGGGAACATTCTGCACACCTATCCAATGCTACCCACAGGTCTAGGGTGGCCTCCATTAGTAGAGGATTCCTCAGTGCTGATCTGGCCTATTAAAGCAGTGTAATGGCCTCGTTATGCCTCTGGAGTGACACAAATGGTCCATGGCAGAAAGCAAGATCTAGCCATTGAGTATATACAAAACCTTACTCCCACATCAATAATCTTACAGGCAAGCAAGCATTTGTGAACATTTTATTCCATTAACATAATAAGTCCTCCATTAACAGCCTTTCTTCCCTTCTGGTTTAGTTCTATGATGCTCCAGAAGCATATGAAGAAATGCTGAAATGCCTGAATATTGTGTTTACATCTATGTTTTCAATGGAATGTGTGTTGAAGATCATTGCCTTTGGTGTACTGGTATGTTCTTCTTTCATTTACCTTCTGCTGTTTCCCCCTCATGTCAAATATCTTTTTGCTTCTGGAATGATGCAATGAGTAAAAACCAATTTGGAATCCACTCTGTAAAAGAAAATAACTTCTAGATTCCTTTTCCCTCTCTTGTGTTTGTATTTTGCAGAATTATTTCCGAGATGCCTGGAATGTCTTTGATTTTGTAACAGTATTGGGAAGTATTACTGATATTTTAGTAACAGAGATTGCGGTAAGTACAGTTTGCTCAGTTTGCCTCATTTACCAACAAAGCTGTATCCTGTCAAAGCACTGTACCTTCTTCCCACCAACCTGTTCCCTGGAGTCACCTCTAGGACTCATCATGAGATGATGTTCTTTGGTGGCTTGGCAGCCCATTCACATCAGGTCTGCTCCTTCCACAGGGCTGAGCACTGCTGTCTGCCCTAAAGACTTCCATACAAGAAACTCTGATGAGAATGACAAAGCTAGTAGCTGTGCTAGGAAATGCTGTTTCCTTCTCATTTAGTAAAAGCATCCTATCCTAAAGCCTTTTTTACCCCTTTATGGAAAAGTCCTGTAGAATTTAATAGACATGAAATCCCAAATGGTTTATGATGTTGATTATTTGAGAGTACCACCCATGTGCTACCTAGTTCAGAGAGAAAGCAAAAAGACTTTGTCTCCTTCTCTTTCTGTTCAGTCTCTACTCTGTATATGTATCACAGGAAATGAAGATAACGATCAGTGAGAAGGGGACAGATTAAGGAAGGAGGATGGTTACAGCATCACCACAGTCTTAGTTTAGATATGTTTGGATTATGCTTTATTTTTTATCTACATAAGATGGTTCCAGAGAAATTATATTAAATAATTAGAAGGAGAATGAGATCCTTTCCATGCAGCTTATCAACCAAGCTATAAAATACAATAAAAATATAGCATTGTTACATAATTATATGAGTAGACAGACCTTATATTAAATTCTAGTGGACTTTTTTATAAGGACAGTGAATGAAGTGACTTCAGGCTAAGAACTTGGTCTTAGCCCACATTGATAAAGTTTGCCCATCCTAACCCAGGTGCATGTTTTCAGCCCATACTGGTGATTCTTTGTGTGAGCATACTGAAGATGTAACGTCACTACTTTTCCTCCTTAATCTTTTAAACACTTGTTTACAAATATTTCTGTGAGCTCAGACTCTTTCCATTTACTGGGAAAAGCCCTGTCCAAAGACTTGTTCACAGGAAGTATGGATGGTGGTGAAAATTGTGTCACTGGTTCTAACCATACAGTTTGTTATTATGTAATATCTCTCAATACAGTATCAGAAAACACATAGAGTATTTAAACTGCTGTTCACGACATGAGCAGTATTCATATCCAACAGACAAACCCCATAGACTTTGGATTATATTTTCCTATTGAAACATTGCCCACAGACAAAGCAACACTCTCTCAAACCTAAAGCAAGACAGACTTTTATCCCCGAGTGTCGCCGATGTCCCCGATCATCGTTTTGGAACATGTATTGACTGCTTAGCGCAGTTATTTCTGTTTTGGGGAACACAGTTCTCTTGAATTTGAGCATCCAGGTTTTTTTAGGCAGCTTTGAAGACCTCAGCCATAATATGTGACACAGGCTTTTTGTTAGATGAGTTTATTCAATATACAGTGTATCAAGACAATAGACAGTGATCAAGAAGGATCTTTATGGGTTTATCATAATCTCATAATCTATTACCTTGCATATGGAGGAATATATTTCATTTTCCCTAAGCCATCTCTGTCTTTTAATAACATTAAGCCCATACTTTTTCTTTTAATAAAAGCTCTAGTTACACAGAGAGCTGATAGCTGTAAAAGAGAGGATGCTAAATAACATGTCAGAATTGATCAGTTTATCCCCCTTAAGTTGCAGGCCTATTTTTGATGGTACAAAGCTGCACCATCCTAGTGACAGCATATACATTTCCCAACACCTTTGGAAACAGTTGTCCTTCCGCCTAGATGGCTGATGTTTTCAGGAGGAGGGACTTGTCTCAGGGGCTTAGGCTGGGTAAGAAATATAGGAGGTGTTACCTGGGAGTGCAGTCTATGGTTAGGAGAACACAGAGGCCACGTCCAGACCAGTGTGGCCATGCAGTATTTGGTGCTGCAGACACTTCCACACGCCGCACATTCAGTTGTTGTCTGCACTGCAAGGGAGCAGCGTGCGGGGAGCGGGCGACGGGGGTGGGTTTGACCCCTGGATATCCTACGTATTCATGCAGATATCAGCAGTAAACTAACCCTCAACAGGCAATGGGATGAAATTTAAAGCTACCTATAATCATAACCCCCAGGAGTAAGTATGCACACTGATACTCAGACAAACACAATTCCCTTGTGAGCTGTAACAGATTTATTTAGGGATTTTGAAGATGCAATATACTAGGGATGACCTTTGATTCAGTATGTATGCCTACATTACCCTTTTATTTTCTGTAACTAATGTCTTCAATCTTAAGTATAAAGTGTGGCAGATAGAATAATGGTTTTAAAACATGGTGTAAGTTGCATCTGAAAAATCACAGTATAGTGAAAACCAGAAGGTGCCATTTTACAGCCCTCTGTAACACTTTTTGCTCCTATTCTTAAGTTTCATTTTAGAGGCTCCTGATTTAGCAGAAGCTAAATATATTAAGCCACCTTTCAGAGAGGTATGTGTAGTTTCTATTTGCAGTGATTGTGATTCTGAAGACTCCCTAGGCTGCATGTTCCATTGCAAAGCTGTTCTGACAGACATTTCCCCCATATTTAACCGACATGTCCCCTGTTGCAGTCGTAGCCCATTGCCTTTTGTTCTGCCTCTCACAACTAATGAGCCTGTTTGATCCCTGTCCTCTTTAAATCATCCCTTTATTAAGAATTTCTGTACAGCTATCATGCCTCCCTTTCAGTCTTCTTTCCCTTCAGACTAAATTTGCCCAGTACTCTCAACCTTTTCCTTCTAGACTTGCTTTTCAAAACTTCTTTCATTTTCATTGCTCTCCTCTGAACTCTCTCTAATTTTGTCTCTGTCTACAGCAACAGACACATCATTAATGAACAGCTTTCTCTGGCCCCGATGAATAAGGGGCCAGAGAGGGTACACCTCCGAGAGGGTCAGTGGGCTAACAGTGCACAGGCATCACACCAGCTGCCTAAAGAAACATGAGAAATGAGTCGTACTCACTTAAGGGTGATGCGGACACACAGAGTCCATGAAACAATTGCTTAATTATGTGTCTCATATTTTGTAATGGTACGCCAGATTACATCAATAATAGGACCTAAATGGAATCAACCTGGTTTTTTGATGCACGTGTAGTTTCATTCTGCTGCATGCAGTCTTAGTCCTCTTGTAGCAGGATCATGGCTGCATTGGATCTCCTCTTCCTCCTCCTTCCCTCCATACAGCTCGTGGCACCCACAGGGGAACACAAATGAAGGGATTTGAAGCTTTGATCTGGTATGGGTTCACAAACCCCTCTGTTGAGGGGAGGAGTGCAGTGCACACCATTCTGACCACCGCTTCTACTGAGCACAGGTTCCAAAGCTGCCTAAATTATACTGTGGGCAGCTTTGGCCCCCTACAAGGCCCCAGAATCTGAAGTTTGTAGTTACTTGCAAACAGGGTGTGTGAGCTCTGCAGGGGAGATGGATTGCATGTACAAACTCCAAAAGTAATAGTTCCAAACTTAGATCCTAGGCACATGTCAGACTTACACCGGTGCAATTGATTTTTACATTGTTACCAAATGGAATGGACGCACCCTACAGCTCTACATGAATGTTACTCATGCAAATCTTGGGAAAAATTCTGAATAAAATTACACTGGTGTAAGTTACCCAAATGTAGGTGTGCTATGTGTTTGACTTATCTTAGGGTAGCCATTTGCTCAAGGCAAAAAGGCTGTTACCTGCTCCTCATGGCTGGCAAAACACTATAATCATGCCTACTGCATCCATCCACTTCGGAATTTAGTGCCATTCATGTTGGTGCACAAAAATAACATAAAAATAATACTGGTATAATATGTGTGACGAGGCTACCAGTGACCTGAGAGCCTGTGTCTTCTTAAATTTCAGTAGGAGTTGATCTCCTAAGTCACTTAACAGTTTTGAAGAATTTATATCATTTAAAAAATGGGGAACAAGGACAACGAGATAACTGAGCACTGTTGTGCAGATACCAGTGACTCCGCCTAGTAGCTGGAATGAGCCCTAGCAGGAGAGCAGGTACTGAGGTGTCTCATCAGCAAATTGAGATCCACGTGTAAGGCCATGCTATTTTATCATGTTTAAACTCTTTTCATATGCAACCACTTTTCCTCCCTTTGCTCTTGCATGCAAAGGGGTGTTATAGCAAAGGAACTGAGGCTTACTTCCATGCAGCACAGAGAACTTCAGTTCATGCTCATCCTGACTTGAGCTCTTCTCTTTACTCATGCACAGTCCAGAATACAACAACCTGGTGCGCAGTGTAAAGGCCATATGTTTCTATTGTCTGCAGTAGCTGGACAAAGGAGGGGGACTCAACCTCTCAAGGTCATTCTTCAAAGATCTACATCCACAGCATATTATTACTTTCTTAGAAGAAAGGTTCTTGTTACTGCTTATCTGGCCTTTTTGGAGCAGGATGTTTCCTAGCGAATAAATAACAGTCTGGACTTTTGCATGGCATTCTTATCTAGTCCCATCATGGATGCTCCGTCCTAACTAGTTGTCAGTTTAAATTTACCTATTGCTACTTTGACTTGAGCCCAAAGCCCAGATGACATCTTTGCCATTCTTGGTTTGGCGTTGTTTGCATGCATGTGTCCATGCAATGAAAAGCAAATTCTTTCCTACTCTCCATAGGAGAGGAACTTCTCTGTGAGACCAGTCCTGAGATCACTGGCGAACTTTGGCTAGAGGTGGGCAAGGGATAGATCTAGCTGGCAAAACAGTGTTTCCTGCTTAATCAGTCTACCCAGCTTTCACTCTCCAGCCTAAATAAACCAGCTAACCTGGCCAGTCTTGTGAGTGGTTGTATCCTCCACCAGCCTTTGAACCACTTCAGAGTAAAGATAAAAAGGAAAAGAAATGTGTTGATTAATTCCTGTATTTAATTTCTTAGCCATGTTGTGTGTAATTTACTTTGTGAATGCAGTTGATTTTTTTTTTATTTCCTTAGGCAAAAACATGTATGTCAGTTTTCCCCGTCTTTAGTATCCAAAGGAAAGTAGGCGGAGTTAAAGGCAGTCGGTCCTTCTGAAGGCAGCTGGCCTGTAGGAGGCGCTCTGAACATTTGTGAAACTGACATCTATTTCTATGCCTGGAAATACAAAAAAAAATAAAAAAATAAAAAGTGTCTGTGAATTGTCTTCTAATTTGCATTACAAAATGAATGCAAATAACTACTACACTGTCTGTGTTACCTTTAAGGTTTCAAAATCTATTTTGATTTGAAGCCTTTAAAAAAAATTGTATAATTACCATAACAAAAAAAATACCCACCCCGCAAAAAGCCCAACCATTTCTTCTTCCAGAGAAAATTTCAGAGTTTCCTTTTTTGCCTGTCCTGATTACTCATTTTCTCTTTTGTTTTCTGTTTTGTTCCTTATTTTCCTTACCTACCTGCTGAATCACGCCATCCAATCAACATACAATGCGAAAACCATGTCTCCGTCTGTATGTTGTACACCTGCTGCTCAAAAAAAATTTGTAAATAATCTTGCAAATATTCATCCATGAAAACATCACATATAGGACACGGTTGGTTTCATTGAATTTAAACAATTATTTCAATTCTCTGCTTTTCTTTACTTATGGTTTTTTTCTTTACTTTTTTTTTTCTTTTTAATTTTTGTTTGGATAAGATTGTACTGGTGAAAAGCCTCACTGTCTGTCTGCAGTGCGCCTCAAAACTAGCTTCTATTTTGCACCTTCTTCCACGGGCTACTTGGTGACCTGAGGCAAACAGAGTTACCAATAGCCTCTTCTCTGCTGCTTGTTAGAACTGATAAAGACAAAGGGGAAATGACACTTGCTTTATTTTGCTGGACAATAAAATTAGAGCTGAAAAGAAAGCTCCAGTACTTCAAATAAGGAATATTGTTTGGGTTGGAAACCCTACATTTTTGCAGGTGATAGAATCAAATTTAAAGTTCTAACCAACCAGTCTTTTATATTGAGTCATGCTGGGCTTTGTGAAAAGGAAAGCAATTCACAAAGTATCAGGCAGTTTGAAGCCACAGATTGAGTAATTTGTTTGCAAGACAAAGACTTTTATTAAAACTAATGTAAATGAAAATACTGATTTTGTTTGGCTTTGAACAGCCGCTGCAAATCCAGCATAATTGTATTTTCCCACCATGTTCCTAGAAAGAAAAGATGTCTAGTAACAAAAGTGAAACTCTCTAAATAAAGTAAATGAGGTTTGGATTATGAAAAGGTCTGAAGGGCATTATGCACCTAAATCCCATTGAAATTTAGCGACAGATGTTCTCCTAATTTCCTATTCTGCCCTTGGAAATTTTAGCCCCGGTCTCTTTTCCTTGCCCAAGATGCCTGAAATGCAACAAGCAAGCAAAACAATATAAATGACAAGAAAAGCGCATTTGACTTTTACAGACTCTTCCAATTTTAATAAGCCCATATGGTGTCAGTTACAATGGTCAGGAAATGTGTTTATGGAAATGGCATGCTTGTTAGCCTGAGATGATCTCTTTTAATCTGTATTAGCTTTTACATCAAACATATCTGTTGCACAATTGCTGTTTTATTTAGAGATGAATTTAGCTTTAGCCTCAATGCAAAAACACACGTTCCATAACCAATTTACTGGAGGTTTACAGGTGGGAATATCTGATAGGAAATGGTAGCAAAGAAAAAGGCCATGGAACGTTCAAACCCTGCCTTTCTAAGATATTCAGAGTGAAATTGGAAAGAAGAGACCTTTATGTGCTTTACAGTAACTGAGTTGTTATAGCAGCGATGCTTTAAGGACAGAATTGTGCCACGTATGCACCCACTAAACTCAATTTATTCTTCATTAACTTGGGATTTTTTCCACGGACTTCAAAGAAGCCAATTTTTTTCTCAAGGTGTAGTAACTCCTCTTTTGTACTAATGCAGTTATGTGTATTTGCAGGAGACTGAACTATTCTGGCTGCACATATAAAATGGTTCACATGCTCAGACAGTCTCTTTGTTTACTTTGTCTTAGCAGACGAAATGTTGTTTCCTGACTGTAAAGAGCAGTAAAAATTTCCCAAAACATCCCAGTCAGTTTGCTAGAACCAGAGGCCAAATTTTGTTGTCGTAACCAAATTCATGAAGAAAAGCATAAAAAATCTAAAGCTTGAAGTCCATTTTTTCCTGTTTTGTTTCTTGGTCACAAAAAAAAAGGATCAGTAGCAAACTAACATAATTTTCAGTGACTTTGCCATTCAATAAACGTGCAATTTATGCAGATTTGATAATCCCTGGGGAAACCTATTCAGCTCTGGCATGAGGAAATGCAACTCAGACTTTTGGATAAAAGATTTTTTAATTGACCTGTGATTTTGTCAATGATGCAACAACCACAATAAAATACAGATTGGTGTTGCATATCTTTAGAGCCTCTGATGACACTGCCAGCAGCTTGTCTCTCAGCAAATGAAGTCAGTGCAACACTGTAGATAATTGGAGGAACAGATCTGTCCTGTAGCAGGTGCCATATTTACTGTCCCTTACAAGCTTTCTAAGTTTGGGAAACATGAAACCATAGGAAGGGATAAAAAGCTAATGTTTAAAACTGGGACGTAAGGTACCAGTCAGTGTTCAGCATCTGTGCAACAGAAAAAAACAAAGCAAGAATGAAGGAAATAATCCAGAAGAATGACATTTATAGTTCTTATAGAGTAGATCAGTAAAAGGAAAATCAATGCAAACTTTATTGAACCAAGAAATATTGCAATGTAGAGCTTCCCCTTTGATTGCATGCAATTCTAATAATTTCCTGGGCAGTCTTGTCATTGAGGGACCTGTTTTCTATGCAGTGAACTGGGATTTATGCACACAGTGCTCTTTCACCACTTGTGAATAGTGTGAAAAACAATCCCTCAAAAGCTTTCTAAATGTTGAAGAGGTAGGATTACCCTGGGTTGCTAGCAGTCTCCATACTGGGTTACTCCTGTAACTGCAGTTTATGATATGATAACATACCTTGCAAGAGTAGGTGTTGGGACTAGTATTTTAAAGAAGATGGAAGTTTTTATCTTCCCAACACAGTGAATTTAGGTGAAACTCTGGAACTTACCTCCTTTCCACACCTTTGAAAATTCCTCTCTGGGCCATGTGCATGCTATGTGGATCTGTTTTTTCTCACCTGTCCCTTTCCTCAGTTAGATCTTGCCACCATTCACTGCTGTACAGTGTTTTCCCATATCTGGGAAGAACTTTTAGCTAACAGAAGGCTAAAAGCAGTTAGTGTAGACTAAGATAGATGTTAAGCGTCATATCAGCTGAATGTGGTTATGAAGGAGTTATATCTATAAATTATATCTATATTTCTGTTGCTAAGCCAAAGCTGTAGCAACATTTAGTTGTAAAATTTATAAACAGGAACATGATTCTGCAAATTTGTGCTGTGTGCAGATGGAGCAATTCCTAAGAGTAAAATTTGTCCTGTGTGCATGATTTTGCCCTGCCTGACACAGATGCTACCATGCAGCTAGTGGCAAGGATTGCTTTTTTGTGATACCTTTTATTGGGCCAACTGTACAGTTAAGAGAGATGGTAGACAAGCTTTTGGGCACAAATTGCCTTTCTTTCAGTCTACCTGCTACATGTTCTACCAATGAGAATTAGGGGCCTGATTCTCTAGTACCATGAATCTTGTATAGTCAGACAAGGCTTAATCCACTAAGGCGGACTCTTTCTGATGGCTTCAGAGAGCTTCAGATCAGGCTCTTGCAGTTATATAAAGTAACTAGTGTCACTTTGCACAGATGCAACAGACTACACGTGGCCCAGGACAGTGGGGATTCAAGCCCTGTGCATTTAGAGTAAAGACCAGATTAAATCAGAAAATCAGGTATAGAGTTACACTGATGAAACTGCAGCTAGAATCGGACTCCTAGTCCATGTACAACCTAGGCTGCTGAGCTGAGCTTAATTTATATTTTGTGAAGGAAAAAATAACTTTCAGAAATGCATGGCTTCAAAAAAACATTTGATTTTAAATTCTTAGCAGCTGTTTGCTAACCTTGAACAACCCAGGGGAATCCTTGCTTGTGTTTTGCCTGCCAGGAGCTGCCTTCTGCTATGGACTAGAAATAACTCAGTGTTGTCTGCTCTTTCATTGAACATCCCTATGCTTTTCTCTTTTCTCTTTATTTGAGGATTGAGTCTGATATCAAGTCTATGCCTAACTCTGAGCTGCTTGTGTTTTACAAACAAAGCAAACCGAGTGCATGCCTGAACCTGATCTCTTGAACTATTTGATGGTATTGGTGGAATGCAGCGCTAATGGCCTAATAATGAAGCTGGCATTTAAATAAGTTAATAGATAAAACGAGTGCCCCAAAACTCAGCATGAGCTATGCATCCAAATCAACTAGAAGTTTGGATCAACTTAATCTTAGCAGTTGTCTTGTGGTAAAAGATGATGGGGTGGGACAAGGAAAGACTCCTTTCATTCATCTTTACCTACAAGGCCTCTATGCTTGTGTCACCCCCTCCACTGCTTATGAAGTTAAAATACTTGGTGGGATTTCCTTTAGTTAACCCAGTCAAATTAATCATGGTGATTAAAATTTGACAATCAAGTGAATTTGGGTCAGTGCATGCAGGAGGAAATAGGAGGGCAGGAGGTATCTGTCCTTTGCATGTTTTGTTTTGGAGGTAACCCCCTCTAGATTAGCTCATTGGAGAACCTATTTTCTGTCACTAAAAAAAAAAAAAAAGAGAGTGTCTAGTAGAACAAATCCCACTGAAATCAGAATCTATCCTTGGCATTTCTTTGATCCACCTGAAAAGGAATATGTATGAATGATTTAAGAAATCAGCAGGTTCCTAAGGACAGCCCCCTGCTGTTCAACCTTCTCTCCATCGATTCTCTTATAAAAACAGTCTTACTTCCAAACAGGGATGATCCCAGCTTGTTAAGCAGACATTTTTAAAACCCAGATTATAAAATATCCTTAATTTATAACAAAAGGTGCCTTAAAGTGCACTGGCTGATATCTTCCTTTGCCACGGAAGAGGCTAATGCTTCCTACTGTTATAGCCCTTCTCGGCTCGTGTTTGGTTCCCTCTAATAACGAGAAAATAAGCTACCTCAAACTTCAAAACAAACCTTTAGCAAACTATAATATTTCATCAGCACTTGCTTGAACTGTTTGAGGAAACTTGCTTTACCCAAAGAAAAGAAGATGTCCAAGAAAAGCGTGTAAGGGCTGTTTTCTTTTTACAGTTTTCCCAGTAGTAGAAGGGTGGGGCTCCTGTGGAGAGGGGTTTTCTCATACTTGCTGCATGTGGAGTGATCTGCACTGACGAATGTTTCTTTTGGAAGGTTTTCTGGTGGCCGATTTGCTGCTTAGATCATGAAGCTGGTAATTTTAATTTCTTTTTTGCGGGCTGTGGTTTCTCATCACGTTAATTTCTGAAGGACACAAAACCTTTACTTTCTGCAGGACAACTTTATCAACCTCAGCTTCCTGCGGCTCTTCAGGGCAGCAAGACTCATCAAGCTCCTTCGCCAAGGTTACACCATCCGCATTCTGCTCTGGACATTTGTGCAGTCTTTTAAGGTGAGTGGTCGCCAGCTGTAAGAATAGGGAGATGTGGGCTAATAGTCGTAAAGCTTTGTAGTACTGTAGCATCGTCCACAGAGCCTATCAAAGTGCTTTACAAACTCTTCTGGAGTGCTGTTTGTAGCTGTGTTGGTCTACGGACATAGGCAGACGAGACTCTTTGAGTAAATATGATATCTTTTATTAGACCAACAAAATATTTGGAAAAATTATTCTTTGCAAGCTTTTGGGCACAAACACCCTTCTTCAGGCATTGGGAGAGTTTGTTGCTGTTGGAGTGCTTTCCCGGATGGAATAGAAGCAGTGGGAACACATAGGGGGTGCATGGGGGTGCACATGCACCC